GATAATATTTTCAAAGGATTTCATATTTTTTATATACACTTTTCAAATGATTGTTTTTAAAATATTAAACAATAAAAAAATTCTATCATTTATTAAAAAATATACCAATGTATGAAAACGTAGCAAAACATTTAAATATGAAATCATTTGAAAAGTTTATCCCAAAAATTAAATTAGTACCTAAATATGGTAAGATATAAAGATCCGGCGATAAATTACAATCCATCTTCTGTCTCCGATTCATAAAGTTTTCTGGCTTTTTGCCAGGATTTAGGTATGTGCATGGGCAAAAAATTGGTTCGGTTCGCAAATTCGGGTAAGTAAAAAAAATGTGTCTTCTTCAGCACTTTGGAACTGCCGAATGGCATTCAATTCGGACATTCGGCATTCGGGAATGCGGCATTCGGGCTTTCATTTCGGGAATTCAGCAGTTCGGCATGTCATTCGTTTCATTCATTCGGCAGTTCGGAATGTAGTTCATTTTGAAAAATATACATTTGTGGCTTTTTTTCTTAAACAACAATGTTTTACATTGCATAGTGGACCACAACAGCACCCAGACCACTTAATCTTAAAGAAGTTGCCTCAATTTGTAAATCCAAACAGTGTCTCCAGGATGCTTCTATACTCACTAGGAAGCCATCCCACAGCTGCCACCAATGTGATGGACCGCCTGGCACCCCGACCAGTTACCTCCGCCAATCACTGCTTCCTAGTAATCCTGAAGTACCATAAGCACCGCACCATACATCATAACCACCGTAAACCCCATGAGCTTGGTTGGGGTCTCGCTGTCCTCCACCCACCCGGGACCCAAGACCAGGATCCAGCTTCCAGTGGGTAGACCTCTTTTAGTCCAGAGAGCAAAGCAGGTTTACAAGAGCAAGTGTTGTAATCCCAGAAAGTATAGTGATTATAGGAATTCCCAGAGTGAATATAGCTCTCCAATCCCCCAAACATGAGCCTAGACTTCAAGAAGGGGTAAAGCATTCTGTTTAATGGGAGCCTCACACGGCCTTTTATGTCATTCCCCATGCAAGGGGTTTCCTCAAACATATTCCAAGGGCATTCCCCACTGGACCTGAGAGTAGATTACAGCAAAAACATACACATGATTACACTGGCTCTCAGGTCCAGGACACATAAAACAAGATAATCCCTCCTCTGTGTCTGGGGATAATTAAGTCAGGAACTGTACTAAACTCATTTAGCTCCAGGCACAGAAAACACACATTTTACAACCTCCCAAAAGTACCCCCAAAACACATGGAAACCCCACAACAGTCACATCCCCTCCAAAACAGTCACAACAGTCACAACATATCCAAAAATCACCCAGATCAGGGGTTTGGGATTTTCATGAAGGTCATAATTTGACCGACCGCACACGAGGCTCCTGCCCAAAAGAGTTCCATGAAATCAGACTGTGCAGCCGATCTCTTTTGGGAGTAAACAATACAACAATATACTGAACAAAACTGTTCGTATGTGTGCTTGCCTTGCGTCCCTTGTTCGGGAGTTTGCTCCCACCGAACGCCGCTCTTCTTATACGAACGCCACCGAACATACTTGGAGATGGAAGTCCCAGAGATGTTCGCGCTGTCGAGTGTCCGATTTTGGTTCCATACACTTGACGACCAAACACCGCTACACGCGTTTGTGGAAACAAGATATCAGCCACCTCGTATTCGTCCATACGAACGGCGGCCACCCAGCCGACCGGTTAGAATGTTGCAGTTAACAAGGTCAATAAGGTTAATAAGCAGCACTCCCACGGGTGGTCCAAGAGTTTGGGAGTTGGTTCGGTACATGAACAAAGCCTTTCGAACAGGCCTGAACCAAAGTCTAATACCTGGGCCATAGTCCTGAGTTAAGAGCAGGCCAGCAGGCTCCTCCAAGCACCCGTGATGAGATTCAGTTAGTCACAGTGTATATGTGAGTTATCAATTTCAAAAAATCTTAAACTATAGATTAGATCTTATTTATAATCAACTCTGCTTCGGATGGATTGTGATCTCTTAAACAGTCACTATGAGCACCGTCAAAGCTTTGCATGATTGCATAGGGCACAAGCACAAGCACAAGATCTTATGCTGAGATCTTAGATTTAGGTCAAAGATGGCTGTTCTCCGGAGCGCTCACTGTGCTGGGATGAAGTGATTGAACTTAACTTTCTCCCTGTTCTCAGACAGCAGTGGAGGGGGGCAGGAGAAGAGGCAGCAGAGACGGCTGGCACCTGGAACCACTGGCGTTCATACTGCGGTCCAGGGTGCCGACTGCCTTGCGGACCCCTGCGACCGGGTACCCACCATTATCTTTTGGGGACCCGGCCCGTGCGGCAAACCGCCGGGGCCGCTGTCCAAGGGGTCCATCGGGTGGCTCATGCTGTCAGGGCCACCCGATGGATATGGATTGTCAGGGGGCCTGGTCAGCACTGGGCGCTTTAACAGCGCGACCGGCCCCCTGTGATGAGATCACACAGAGCTGGGAGGAAGTGACTGCACCTCACTCCTCCCAGCTAACACTGAGAGCCGCGTGGGAGGAACTCTGACTCCCATCCCATTTTTTATGTACTTTATGACATTTGAAAGCAGTATTCTACTTGTGTGTAGTGTTTGGTTTTGAATGTAAGGGTGTGTCTGTATATAGTGTTGATGTTTAAATGCAAGGGTATATTTGTGTGTAGTTTTGAAGTTTGAATGCTGAGATGTATACTCAAAAACACTGCCACACACTCGCTGATACACACACATGCAGATACACAGACACACAAATACACACACTGCCACACACAGGTACAAACACTGGCACTCATACACATACACAAGTACAGACATGCAGATAAACAAAAACACACAATGGCACACATGCAGATACAGACACACAGATACACACAATGACACAAATACAGCTACAAACACTGACACACATACAGACAAACAGATAACACATCCACATACACACAGATAACATATTCACACACAGATAACACAAACACACAGATAGCAACACATACACACAAAGACTGCATTACATTTTTGTAGCCACCCCTCTGCTTCCATATGATTTTTGATGCAGGAAGGTGGCTTCCCTGGGATCCAGTTGCCTCTGGCTAAATGTGATGGAAGTCTGCTCTCCATTCTCCCTGGTCTGGACTCTTCATCTCCCTCCTCTCTGATCCTCCCCTCTGCATGGCTCATAGGTAATCTAGGAGGAAGTGACTTGTATCCACCTCCTCCCAGCACCGTGGCTTTGAACAGACTAGGGGGCCCAGTCATGCTGCTAAAGGGCCAAGGCACCTCCCCTGGCCTCTGATCAGAGATGGCTCTCGGGTGACCCTAAGTGCATGGGCACCTGATGGGCACCATGAGCCTGTGGGTCCCGGTGTAGTTCCACCACTGCCCAAATGTATATCCTGAACAAATAATCCCATATGGTCCTACATCATCAAAATAAGAACAAATGTGAATTAATGATATGGTAGCAAAAATTTAGCTATAAGCAATAATTATACTGGACTGCAAGAATCGGAGGTCTACTCCAATGCTTCTGGTCTAAAACCTAGGATATTATAGCACCAATAATGATTGCCCACTTTAATAAAACCTACAATCTATTAAGTTACAATACAATTAAGGTTTAAATTCCATAATTACGGCTCCCAATACATTTTGCATAGAAGTCATATACTTTCCATATACACTTCTCTACTTAAAAATGTGTATAAATATCATAACTCTATTGCACTCTTTTAAGTGACCTACAGGTGAAGGTTTTAACCAGTACTGTCAGTATAAAAGTGGTGATATGTCTGAATTGCTCTTTTCTAGAGCTTTAGATTAGTCAGTTATTGTTGTATAATAGTTGTAAGTTGTTTTATGATATTCTTAAGGCTATCCATCCTTAAAATTGTTATCTTTTAAGTAAGTAGATTCTAAAAGAAAATCGTGACGAGGATGAGAAGGGTGTGCACGTAATACTGCGTATTTATTTTTATAACCTAAACGTGTTTTATCATAAACCCTGCCCTAGTAAATAATTATGTCATAGTTCAATCTATTTGATCTATTTTCCATATGCTGTGAGGACCCAGACTTGGTTTAAACAGGAAAAAAAGCACAGGCTTTTCCACATTTTCAGAACTACAAGTTGGTTAGTTGATTACTTGGAATAAATAAAATAAAAAGAAACATTTAGAATTTCTGTATCGGTGGGTGAGCAGGTAAAATCAGAGTTTTACAAAGAACATTGTGCGCACCAGCTCTCAACCTTCCAAGAAGACAAAGAGGGACAAGTTTAGTGGGTGTGAGTGCGGTGTGGGGCTTTTCTGAAAAAAATTAGATGTCTTACTAATAACAATTAATGCCACTAAAATGTAATTTGGAACAAGCACAATGTATCTTACTCACAGACTGATTTCTAAACAGATTTATTGTAGTTTAACCCCTTAAGGATGGAGACAATTGTTTCTGATCAAAATAAAACCTAGAATGTGTCAACCATAACTTAACTCTTTTATATTAAGTGCACCACACTTATCTATAATTTTGTTCAGGGGAAACACAGATCTTTCATTTACATTAAATATTTATATATGAAACATAATGAAGTTACATAACGGAAAAGAGCAGTGGTGTATTTTGGTTTTGTTCTGCCCTAGGCTGATGATGTAGTTTTCTTTAAGTAGAGCACGAGTAATAGCATATAAAATAAAGTTGACAAACTAAAATAAACATATCTAAATATATACATTCATTGTAATTGTGATGACTGCACTTTTTGGATCTATCTACCTGCTGCTTGTTTATAAAGCAACCTGCCCTATTGTAATTACACCGAGCAGCAGGCATTGTGCCAGACTAGTCTACACCTCCATGCTGTCTTTGGCTCTTACGCTGGTGCTCATACGGGTTAGGAGGTGGTGACCTGGATTTAATGTGGTTAATTTGGCATCTGGAGTTTGGCTGATTAACTAAAAGAAAGAATTCTGAAAATACATTTTAAGTAAATTCGAGCCACTGGTAGTTTAAGGTCCCTCTCCTCAGGAGGTGAGTGATGATTTTGAGAGTCCCGAAATTCAGGTGGTAACTGCCGCATGCATGTAAGACGTCGCTCCTTGCGGGACGAATAGAGTGATCCTTGCCGGGTCCCAGCGATGCACTGCCACATCCTGGAAGGTTAGTTGTCTGAAGTGAGTTTGCCTCTAGGCCAAGTGGCAGTAACAGAGTGACCGCTCCTCGTAGATCCGAGATGTCAGGGGTTGTATCAGAGGGTAGGACTTGTATTTTATGTTGTGCGTTCATAGTAGTGCCACGAAAGGTTGCAGGGACCGTCTTCACTGCAGTGTGTAACCAGACATGTCTGCATAAAAGGACAGAGGCATGCTTTTAAAGTTGTATGAGGTCGCCTTAGGTCCTTGAGTATTGCGAAGTGCAGTTCATTTTTGGCCTGCTGCAATTTAAGTGTTTGCACCTCATGTTTTAGCTCAGCAATGGCTTTGGTGTGTTGTGTGGTAGTATCTTCCACTAGCCCAATGCGGCTGTCCAGGCCTGTGAGGTCCACATGGAGTTGAGTCACATCTGCCTGGAGGACCTTCTGTAAGTCTCCCAGCATGGTTTTCAGTGTCTATGCGGTCACTGGTCCAGTTTCGCCCGTTCTGAGCCTTCTGTGATGGCTTTAAGGAGAGTAGATCTAAAGAGCCTCGCTGAGGTCCAGGTCTTTTTGCTAGTATAAGTAATATAGTTGCAGAGCCCATGTGCCATGCGACTGTCCAGGTCTGTAACCAACCCCCCCTCCTCCCCACCAATGGGTTTTAAACCCGCTTTTATCAGGAAGGCATTGTACGCCATAACGGCGTTAAGGGACTAAGAACACATTACTGTTCAGACACACTAACAATATGGAGCTCCTAGAAAAGAGGGGTAGAGGATTTGGCCCAAACTAGTATCCCCTATTGAATGCATTCTCTGTGTCTGTCAATGATGTGCATTTATGTTTACAAACATTAAAGCCTTATTTTTGTTGGGTGTTATTCTATAGTACACAAAATAACCCCTAGTTCTGGTGTTCACTTTTTTGCAATAGCGTGGAAGTGAAGGGGTAAAGATATCCACTTTTTTCTCTTAGTTACTGTTAAGAAAACAATTTTTTTTCCAGAATAGTGACACCTGATGTATTGACAGTTTATTCAGACAGTGAGATATATTGTTTTAACTCGGTATATTTGCATATCAGATAGTGAAATTGCTGTTATCACCCAGAGCAAACAGACAGTACCAGCCTACAAGTTGTACTTTGTGACAGTTACCATGGCAACCATAGTTGATTTGCCACAGTGTCCTGTTTGAGAAATGCTTTGGTTAAAGTGTAACCGGTCTTCCTTCACAAGGGTGGAGCTGTATCTACACAGACAGGTGATGTATTCTTCAAAAAGGTGACCTCATATGGGGTTGTTCACTTAAGTCCTATAAGGTCCAGGCAGTGTTCACACTATTTAACAATATCTGGATTTTGCAATTCAGGCCCCAGGTGGCACAGAATTTGGTCGGATTTCAGCTGAACCTAATGGCTCAAATTGGCCACATTAAATAGTTAAAATATTGAAATAAATAAAATGCCTATGATAGTCAATAAGACCCCCATATTACTAAAAGGGAGGTTTAAAATCTCCCTTTGCACCCAGCTACCATGCGGCAGGTGGGGGCATATCTACTTTATATTTAAAACAAGCAACTGGGCTGCCATGACTTTGCCAGTTGCTAGAAAATCCCATCTCATGTTGCCACCTTGTCACTCCCAACTCGTGGACATAGATGGAGACTTTAAAGAAATAATGGGAGTTGGACAGATCAATTATTTATGTGGTAAGTGAGTAGGGGCTATTATAACATTAGAACATAGTGTGTGTCCCTGACTGGAGGTCCTAATTATGATATGAAAGGGGAAGGACCTAATGTGTGGCAGGTGAGGACCCAAGTAATATTATTAAAAAGGGAAGGACCAAGTGTCCTCCTCCCAGCCTCCACCCATCAGCGGCGCATAGAAGCCCTAATTATAATATTTAAGGGGGAGAACCAAGATTGATGGAGCGAACCACGCTGAGACTAGTGCAGCATGGGAGAAAATATGAGTAAAATCACCTTTTTTCTATGATGGTCACCTAAATAGCCACTACAGAACAATAGTGTCAGCAATCCATGTTTGTATTCCTGACACCATAGTGTTCCTTTAAGTGATCTTGAATAATCTCTGCATTCTTTTTCTTGTGGCAGTCTTTTCCAACACTTATTACTTCTGAGACTTTTCTGTTACTTTTTGTGTAGCGCATTCAATATATTAATTTATACACTTGAAAAATATTTCATTTTACGATGTACTCTTGCACCACTCTTTTCTGGTGTAGAAAGTAAAGAAGTATACTCACATAATAATTACACAGGATTATTCATTCATAAGACATAATTGTGGAGAGACAAAAATCTATCAGAACATGAAGAAATGGGATGTTTTTCATAGTACTTTTAAAACACCTTAAGATCTTGAGACAGATTGTTGTACTCCTGCCCCTAAAACACAAATTTGGATGGTCTGTAGCACTCCAGTGATATAAGAAGGTCATTGTCTTGTGAGTGCAACATAGCAAACATTAGATAAATTATTACATTGTGTAGCACTATTGTTTGTTTTAGAAGTATATATTTCAGAAGAATATTTAGCTGTGTGCTGATGTCAGTGTCAACATCTTGTACATTTCCCATAACTTACAAAAGAATCCAATAACACCGCACTCACCAATTGCCCCCCAAAAATATATTTTTATTACTTGAGGATATTGTTTTTATTCATAAACGAAAGAAACAGAAATATATAAGTATGTTTTATATTGCTCTACACAAAGGGAAATAATCACCCATTAACATTTTAGTGCAAAAAAAACAAACAAATTCACACAAAAAAATCTAAAAAAAAATGTCCAGAGGATCTGGAATTGTCCTCCACAAAGATAACCTTGCACCAATTCAATGTAACAAAACAATCAGATCACATTGGAAATGCTTCAAACTGGATTGTTTTGCCTTATTTTGGATCAACGGCAGAAAACACATGTGAGGAAGGCCTAACTTGATGCGCACGTCTTTTTTCAGTCTGTGTAACTATGTAACTATAATATACTGTATTAGCAATTCTTTGAGATTTCACAATTGTGCCAAACTTGATTAAAAAACAAATCTCAGATATGCTCTTTGTAATGTTTCCCAGTGATTGGCGAGAGATTCTAAAGCAATTTAAAATATTGTGGCTAAGAACCCAATCTGCACAGCCGGATTAATGGATGCCGACCGCAAGCTACCACAGCCGATAACTAGTAAATATAAAAGTGGACAATAACAATAGAAAATGTTTAGCTTTCACCATGTCTATATCATCTTTTCTTCCCTACTTGCACCTGCATAGTTCAGCATTTAGACATATAGCCTGACAGGAGTGAATTGTTTTACTTTGATAAGCATCAATGTGACCATAGCTCACGTTTTATACATGCACCTACAAATGTGTGCCTAGACGTTTAAATGTATTAATCGTCATTGATATTACCTACATAGGCCTGCCTAGCTTATGTTTTCAATAGGTGCACCCTCTTGCTTTGTTTCTAATAATATGTTCCATTTTATGGTTGCATGACTTATACTCTTTGACACAAAGCCGGCTCCAGTGGCATCCTCAGCCTAATTTAAATATAATGGCCAGCGTGTAATAACTTACTCGCAAAAGCACCTGTCAATTTTCATGTACGACTAAATAATAAGAAAAATGTGCATGTCTCTCATATACCCCCATGTAATATATATTTGTCAATCTTTCTTTTATTGAGGCATGTGGTCATGGTGGTACAGAATAAAGAGAGGGAGACTTGCAGGGGTTATACAGGTTAGGATCATCATAACAAATTACAAAATCTCCTAGGATTATCATCCTCATTTTATATTATATAAACAAGCTTAGAACATTGAGTTGTGAAAACAGGTGGGCTGTAATCTATGTCTTAGTTATCAAGCTTAATTAATGTCCCCATGTAATATATAAATGTGGAATGCTAGACGATTGCCTTTGGGGTACCTCACAAGCGAATGTTATATACGCACAACAAAAATAAAAAATTATTAAAAAATAAAGAACCCAATCTGTAATAAAAAGAAAATAGGTTGTAGTGTACGTGTAGGTAACGTTTGTACTCCTTACAATATGAATAATATACACAGCTGTAATGTTATCTTTGATATTAATAATTACAGTGAAAAAATGGACCACCAAGTAATTCCTATGCTGAAAACAAAAGAAGAAAAACAAGAAAAAGAATGGTTGAGCCGATGGTTCAAAAGCACATGATCAAAACTGGGGCAGATCCACTAAATAACATTTCACTTGTGCAAACTGTTATAGTGGTAATCTTGGCATAACAATAATATGAACCATGAAAATAAAATATCACAAAAAGCATTTGGAAAAGGGAACAAAAAGAAAAATGCTAAATTAGTGATAAACAGTCTGTCAACACAACTTTTCAGAACAAAATACAGTTAAAAAAAGTAAAGATGAATTAGAATTTGAAATTTCATAAAATTTTGGTTAAAAAAACAAAACAAATTTCATCTGTGTTTGTAATTCTCGTATGTACGTGGCTTAAATACAAATCCAGTTAAAACTGGGTTGTTTCAACTGAATGAGCATTGTAACGGAGCTCCCTGTACCCCTTGCTGGGTACCTCCGCCAAGGACAGCTTCCTAGCTGGAACAGGGGACAAACCGCAGCACTTCTGCCCACAGTCACCGTGGCTGGACTGGGGCCCTGGAACCGCTCCTTCCTGGAGCCAAATGGGAAATTAGCTCTAGTCCTTAAAAGGACTTTCCCCGTTGAATGCCCTGCAAGCTGGAACAGCAGACACAGGAGTAAATCTTCTTTCCCTCCAATAACAGGACGACACGCAGTTTTAGAGTGCAAGCTGGAGTAGCATTTTAATGGAGGCACACTTGCCTTTTATGCAAGTTTCCCAAAAAGGGCGACACCCAGGTGGACCTTGTTGGGCACAGGGACACAAAGTGAACAAACCAATAAAAACGGAGTCACACAGTGAGACACTCCCATACACAAACAATAGAATCCCTCCTCTGTGCTTGGGAGATAATTGAATCAGGAACTGTACTAATCTAACCTAATTATCTCCAAGCACAGAAAAAACATACAATTCTATGAAACACACAAAAAGTACCTTAAAGACACACAAAACCCCATATCCCCAAAACCCCAAACTCTGATAGCCCCGATCTGGGTGAACAACATATCCAAAAATCATCCAGATCGGTTCAGGGGTTCAGGAATTTCCTGGAAGTTATAGTTTTGACCGACCGCAAGCATGGCCCCATGACCAAAACATTTCCAGGGAAATCAGTGCTAACAGTCGGTCAAGTTTGGTAGTCTTTTACAGGTTTCCATGCAGGGCCCATAGTCTGTGGGCAGGAGGCTGGCAAGCAGGCTCCTCTGGGAGCTCATGGCAAACTCACTTGGAGAGGGGAGTTTGTCACAAGCATATCTCATGAGCACCATTTGGTGGAGAT